GAGAGGATGTCGACGTCGCGAATCCACTTCGGTCGACAGAGCGGTGTGTGTATAGGAAACCGACGTCGCGAATCCACTTCGGTCGGTAGAGCGGTATCGGAGAGGATGTCGACGTCGCGAATCCACTTCGGTCGACAGAGCGGTGTGTGTATAGGAAACCGACGTCGCGAATCCACTTCGGTCGGTAGAGCGGTATCGGAGAGGATGTCGACGTCGCGAATCCACTTCGGTCGACAGAGCGGTGTGTGTATAGGAAACCGACGTCGCGAATCCACTTCGGTCGGTAGAGCGGTATCGGAGAGGATGTCGACGTCGCGAATCCACTTCGGTCGACAGAGCGGTGTGTGTATAGGAAACCGACGTCGCGAATCCACTTCGGTCGGTAGAGCGGTATCGGAGAGGATGTCGACGTCGCGAATCCACTTCGGTCGACAGAGCGGTGTGTGTATAGGAAACCGACGTCGCGAATCCACTTCGGTCGGTAGAGCGGTATCGGAGAGGATGTCGACGTCGCGAATCCACTTCGGTCGACAGAGCGGTGTGTGTATAGGAAACCGACGTCGCGAATCCACTTCGGTCGGTAGAGCGGTATCGGAGAGGATGTCGACGTCGCGAATCCACTTCGGTCGACAGAGCGGTGTGTGTATAGGAAACCGACGTCGCGAATCCACTTCGGTCGGTAGAGCGGTATCGGAGAGGATGTCGACGTCGCGTATCCACTTCGGTCGACGGGATGTCTAGGATCTCTAGGAATTGCGAGTTCTGGTCGGTCGTGCGCCTGAGAGGAGCTTCCCGATCAAAATCCCCCGATATTGATTTTCTGTCGGCTTTTATACAAAATTATAACAAACAGTTTCGACTGTTTGTTGACATTGCGGTTATTCCGCGCGCGGTTGTTCGGCGTTTTTGTTATTGATTGTTTCGTGACGTTTTCCGGATCGTCACAAACAATATTTTGGAACGATGCTAAGCGGTGAAAAAAAATACAGCCATAGATCACGTTTACAATGTACGTTTCGATAATGATGGAGCGACATTAGGTGATAAACGCATTGCCGTGAACAGAGATGATATAATCATTGATGGAACAAGATACAAGGAAACACCGGGTCTTTACGAGCTGATATTCAAGAAAATATCCTACGATACCGTATACACCGAGGCCGACAAACACAAGTACAAAAGTATATTGCTGGCGACGAAGGCTCACAGACGAATGCTCATAGTCGTGGCTACAATCCTCTGAATCCTATACTCGGTAACAAAGGGTACAAGTATAAGAATATCAGCTCTTTGATATCACACATGTCGAGCGATAGAAACAATAAAAATTTTTTATAACCTACGAATTTTACTAGCAAACAATTTATTATTATTATTATTTAAATATTTTTTTTCGTTTTCGATGAAAAGATTATATCTGCCAGGTGTGTTTCATTGAATACTTAAAGCGTGCAAAAGCGCTTTTCGATCAGTTCAGTTTGGAAAACGTAAAACCTAAAACAGGTTTGTAGGCATCCGACATCCCCTTAACGTTACTCTTATGAATATAATTTTTTATCAAATTTAAATATTCATCTACATAATTTTTGTGTGCAGTGTCATCGAAGGCTTCCGACCACGTGATGTATCGCACGTCTCTTTGTATCGAAAGCTTTGCCATCGGTGATTAAATAAAGCGCATTTTCCTGTACGTATTGTTTGCTCGTAAAGTCGCGCAAATGATTTCTCATACTTGCAACACGCTCTTCCACGTATTTAGTTGCAACGTCACTGTCGGCTTCCGGTTGCGCTACTTGTTGCATCTTGCGAGATTTTGCGTAAAAATCTTTGGCTGCGTTTAGACAAAGAGCATTTTCATGGAGTGGCATTCAGTTGGACACAGTACAATTGGACACGTTGCAAATGGACGCGGTGCAAATGGACACGGCACTTGACACACGGTTTAATTGGACAAGGTGTGTTTGGACACGAAACTTTTGAACACCGTTGTTTTTGGACACGAAAGAAAATGCACGTCGTTCAGTTACACACAGTTCATTTGGACACCGTTCAGTTGAACACCGTTTACTTGGACACAGTTCAGTTGGACACCGTTCAAGAGCCCACTGTTTACTTGGACTGTGACGTGACGATTTTTTGTTATCGTCCGTCACTCGAAAAATCGTGAGGAAGCCGAAAGCGGGCTTCCCGGCTGCAGGTGGATATCGCGTCCTAACGGTAAGGCGAATAGGACGCGAGCCTGCGTGGCCCGAATTTTGTGTATAAAATAAGAGTGCGGGTGACGAGAGGTCGGGTCAGGAAGAAGAGGATTTCAGGGAGGATCTGCTGCCGCCGAGGGAGAGAGCAGTCAGGCTCAGGAGCATCGGACGGACCAAAAATCTCAGGTGAATCGCTTCCTTATTCTTATTAGCAAGTAAGGACCGACAGTTGAATCCGTTATAAGGAGGCCTGTTTTAGCCGAAGACCCCTGCTAACGAGGAGAGCGCAGAGAGAGAGAGAGAGAGAGCTGCCGAGGTGGATCAGTCCTGAGCTGCCGCAAGGGAGCCGCTGGGACGGAGTCGACGGACACCGCGGACGAGCGGAGGACAGCTGCTACCAGGGCGAGTCCGACAAGCACGTCCTCCGCGACCTGGAGCGTCCTCCGAGCCAGGCGAAGACGCTGCGAGGCTCGAGGACTGAAGAAACAACGGTTGCCGATAGAACGAAGCTCCAAGGTCGGAGAGACCGACCGGCCTGAAAGATCTAACTTGTAAATAACGGCTAGATCTTGTAAATAACAAATAAGGCAAAACAACGGCCGAATAACGGGGGATTCCATCCTGCAAATCGGCCAATCAACGGCCGATAGCTGTCGAAACCAGCGATTCAAACCTGAAATAAAACGAGGTCTCAACGATAGCTCGAGAGCTTTTTCCTGTGAGCCGTGCCGAGTGTGTGAAGGACGCGCCATCCACAGAGCTGACGATTAGAGACGAACTGACCTCCGCATCTGTAAGGCCGCTACCGCACGCGTTGAACTATATTTTTGTGAACTCAGAGGGGACCGCCGCTGCTCGTTGTCGACTGCCCCGCTCCGCCTTTTGGTGAGCCCGTTCCACGGAGAACGACGTTTTATTAGTGATTAGTGTCGCGGAGCGGTGCGGCGTCGGGGAACTGAGGCTCGGCCGTCCACCCTGGGCGAGGGCCAGGGTTCGCGTTCCTCTCGCGAAAGGAGGAGCTCCGCGCATAGATTAAAACTCGACCGGTGAGCTGTCGATCATCCGTCGTGCGCGAGAGATCGAGCAAACACACCGCCGAAAGCCTACGTGGCTGTCGTGACCTTCGTGGTCACGACTCGAAAAATCGAAGCTGCCGAGAACCAGCATCGCTACCGCGAGCAAGGATATTTATATTGTGTTCAGTTAGAATCGCTGCCGAATTACCGAATTACGCGAGTTGTTGTCACGTGAACGCGGGCAAAACATTCCGTCATTGTAATTATCTACCGTCGAATAAAATTCGAAGAGAGAACTTCCGCCTTCATTATTTCCAATACCCGCCAACTACTAATCCTTCCGACATCGCGCAAACCAGCCCCTCTACCGAGAGCAGGGCTGAGCTGCCGGACGTGCGAGCGAGCCGTTCGGGCGGAGGGCCGGTTGTCCTCGTCGGCGAGACCACCGCTTAAGGGAATATTTAGTGTCGATACTTTTTAGTTGGTACGGACCGCCGTACCTGGCGCCCAACTAGAACTTTGTGTTTTTCGTGTGAGCTGTCGGGTCTCGCCGGATCTGCCGAACGGTCGCCGAGGCGCAAAGGGTAACACCTCATTTTGTGTCGCTGCACTCGATTAGTGAAACCGGCTGCACGAGCCGCGGGTGTAGCGTTACAGGACACAGAAGGATGCTCACTGTTCACTTGGACACCGTTCATTTGGACACCGTTCATTTGGACACCGTTCACTTGGACACCGTTCACTTGGACACCGTTCAGTTGCCCACTGTTCACTTGGACACAGAACGATACGTGTTGTTCATTTGTACACCGTTCACTTGGACACCGTGGAATTGCTTGTCTGTTCACTTGGACACAGAAGGATGCGCACTGTTCATTTGGACACCGTTCACTTGGACATCGTCCAGTTGCCTGCTGTTGATTTGGACACAGAATGATGTGCACCGTTTATTTTATCATCATTTAATAATGTATTGTTTGTTTATGCAACTGATAAGAAATAAAAAATAGTTTTGTAGAAAATATTTGTGTTTTTATTTCGTTTTTATCACATCCAACCACAACGCCATATGCCTAGAGATATTCTAGAGACTCTATAAACAACGACATATGATTGGATGTGTCCGTTTGCAATGTGCGCATCTGGGACTCACTCCGATTTTCGTACTACTATTTGTGATGTAGAGCGTGGGTAAATTGTGGTTTTGGTAATTATTTAGTTTAGCGGCAACACTTCCGATTTCGATGAAAATAGACTCAATCGACGCGTTTTTGCATGCCAAACAACTTTTTCCTCTGACAAAAT